GTGCTCTGGCTTCGACAGCGGCCAAATTCGGGCTCACCATCAACACAAGCAAAACTGTCTGTCTCTTTCAGCCTTCACCGGAGGTGCAATCTTCAATATTGCCGCGAATCAGCATTGGTGCTGAAGTATTGGAAACCACCTCCCGCTTCTGCTACCTTGGGAGTGTGATGTCGACTGACCAGCAGCTACACGTTGAGTTGCGTAATCGCGTGTCGAAGGCAGCGGCGGCATTCGGGAAGCTTGAGTACCGAGTGTGGAACAACCGTCAGCTTAGCATTGGCACAAAGCTGATGGTGTACAAATCCATGGTGCTGTCCGTTCTTCTATACGGCAGTGAAACGTGGACGATGTACCGTCGGGATGTGCGATATCTCGAGCGATTCCATCAGCAGTGTCTGCGACGAATTTTGCGCATCGGTTGGGGCGCCAGAGTTGCAGACACGGAAGTGTTGCGCCGAAGTGGGATGTATGCAGTGGACTGCATACTTTTACTGAGACACCTGAGATGGCTCGGTCATGTGTGGCCGTATGGATTCGACTCGGATACCGAAACAACTCTTATACGGTCAGCTGAGTATTGGGAAGCGGCACGTGGGGAAACCAAAGTTACGTTACCAGGACATGATCAAAGTGAGCCTCACACGTTCTAATCTTGATTGCAGGTCATGGGAATCGAAAGCGGTTGATCGGCGCGTATGGCGCGATCTCATCACGAAGGCAGTTGCTGAAGTGCGGGAGAAAGACCTCACGCATGCAGAGAAGAAGAGGCAAGTTCGGAAGCGGCAAGCACTGATGGATTGTAGTTCATCGACATCGAGTGCATGGTGCTGTAGCACATGCGGTCGCGAGTGCCTGAGTCAGGCAGGCCTAGTTAGCCATGAGCGAGGCCACTCGGGACTACTACCGAAGCGACGACGGGTTCTGCAGAGAACGTAGGCAGAACCGGCGCAGCGTCTGTAGGTACGCTGCATTCGATTTACTAACCGCGTGCTTGCATGCTAAGTCTATTTATTTCAGGTGGTGGGTTTTCAATTTTGCTCTAATGCTTTTCTTTCCCATATAAATGCCTAGTTATACTCTCTTCTATACACTTGCACATGTCGCTTAAGCCACTTGTAGTTATTTCGATAACATTTTCGTGTTTGTAGCATTTCCGTATAATAAACCTCCTGACCTCGTGAACTTACTTCGTATTCTTTTGTAAAAACGTATTCTTTTGTAAACAACTTATTTCATATGCTCACTAATTTAAGATTTATGTCACCGTTTGCTTGCGTGCTAAGTCTGTTTATTTCAGGTGGTGGGTTTTCAATTTTGTCCCAATGCTTTGCTTTCTCGTATAAATGTCTACCCGTACTTTCTTCTATAAACTCGCACACGTCACTTAAGCCAATTCTAGTCCTTTCCGAAAACATTTTTGTGTTGGTGGCATTTCCGTAAAGTTTGCCTTCTGACCTCTTGAACTTATCTCGCATTCTTCTGTAAACAACTTACTTCAGATGCTCATTACTTTAAGATATATGTCCCCCTTCCTAGTGAGCCATGAGCGAGGCCACTCGGGACCACTACAGAAGCGACGACGGGTCCTGCAGAGAAGGTAGACAGCACCGGCGCAGCGTTTGTAGGCACGCTGCATTCGATTTACTAACCGCGTGCTTGCATGCTAAGTCTCTTTATTTCAGGTGGTGGGTTTTCAATTTTGCCTTAATGCTTTTCTTTCTCATATAAATGTCTACCTGTACTCTATTCCATTAACTTGCACACTTCGCTTAAGCCAATTGTAGTCGATTTCCATAGCATTTTATGTTCGAGATATTCCGTAAAGTATACTTTCTGACCTCGTGAACTTATCTAGGATTCGTTTGTAAACAACTTATTACATATGCTCATTAACTTAAGGTTTATGTCACCGTTTCCTTATGCATTAATCGAGTTATTTTCTTTGTCTCTCTCTCTATCAAGTGATTGGCTGTTGTTTGATATCCCCGATGTGCTTGCGCTTGATGTGCATGTTGACAAGGTGCCTACCTGTCTATTACCCACTACCTCGTCCATACTGGCTCCAGGAGACAGTTGGTCGTTGCTGGAGGGGACGGGGTGCACGGTCCTTGTGGCCGTGTTAGGCTCGAAGAGTGGTTCCATGCACTCAGTATGGAGCGGAATACGGTCCAGCCACCGCCTTGTGTGCGCTTGATTCCCCAAATATAGCGTGCTTGTGTTTGCCTGTGAAGGAGTGTGGGCCGGCTCCGTTGATGAAACGTGGCTTCCATCCGCATGCCTCCCGGTCTTATTCCTTCGGGTTTACACTGGATATGGGGTGTCGTTGGAGCTGTGGGTGGTGCAGCGCAAGCCACCCATGGTCCCTCTGTAGGCGCAGGCGTCCTGTGGCTTGCCACAGTGACAGGCGAATCCGAAACCGGATGCCGCCAACCATATATATATATATATATCCTGCGTTGTGCATGTTGACCGAGATCCTATTCCACTGAAGCTCAGTGTCATTACGACAAGACAGCGGAAGTTCGGTACGCAGTGCTTCTTGATAGGCTTGCCTGACCGAGTGCTGAGACAATGTCTCAGTTGCCAATTGGGGGAGACGCTTGATGCGTCTCCCGGTAAAGTTTATGGAGAAACGACAGCGTACCAGGGCATGATCAGGTACTCCAGTAGGAGTGACAATCCGGAACGGGACCACGCTATCTGTAACTTATGGCTACGTGGCCAATTTGGGTCCATGGCTGGCCAGCTACAGGGGGACGCCAAGTGGCACTTCGGCGCCCACTGTATCTAAAAGCAGTGCTACTAAGAAACAACTGGTGCTCTGCACACAGTTGTAGCAGATGCTCACCGTTATCAGTCCGTTCGGAGTTAAGCCCATAATTATCACCCAGCTGAGCTTCTGAAGAGCTCAGACGCCCTACTTGTGCGTTTATATCCCCTGCAAGTACCATAATATCTGGACTGCGTAGTAGCACGTTCAGTTCGTGATAGAATGTGTCCTTGACAGCATTTGAACTGCAGTCGGTGGGAGCATAAACGGAAATCACAAACCAACAACGTTTTGTAGTACCTCGTGAATCCACCTTAGCTGATGTCGTCAACCGGACTGCACATAAACGGTTGTTCACCGGAATCCAATCAACCAACGATGGCTCAAACTTAGAGCTGAGAACGATACCTACACCAGCTTGACCCGTGAGTGCTGTCTCGGCGTCTCCGGATGCATGCAACCAATAACGAGAGGATAAGTCGGATGCAGTTAATTCAATAACCTCGTTAGGGTCATTGATCCTAGTTTCGGACACACAACACACATCAATACCCAGTGTGTCCAAGGTGTGTACAAGTGCAGCCTGTTGACCTGTTTGTCTTAGAGTGCGAACGTTGAATGTCGCTACGGAAACAGGATAGCGTGGCTTTATAAGGGACTTTTTCCGATAGGCGTCCGATAAGTGCTCCAGATGGTTCTACTCCAGTGGCAGTTCCGTTGCTGTCAATTAAGCTGAGAATTATAAAAGGAAGGTTAGTAATGGGGGCCGGGATTGGAGTAAGAGAAAAAGGTGGAAAAGAAAGAAGGGAGGCGCCAGCAATAGCATGTTTTCGCTTATCCGCCCTGCTGTATGCAGCAGACAAAACGACCCTTGATTATCTGCGCGACGCCCGATGCAGGATGAAGTTTATGTTTGAAGAAAATGTCATGATTGTATGTGGGCTGAGATACTGCCAGGGCGCCCAAACCTAGACAGCAGGACGATTAGGGTCCTCATCCAAAGCCTTTGGCTCAAAAGCCTGTTCGCAAGGCAGTGGGGAGGTGGCAATGATTTAGTTTTACGAAAATGGACGCCATCTCATTTCAAACCTCCAGACTGGAGGACCAGGAGACTGATTTGTCTGACCACTCACTATTGATCAAACTGGTAGGAGTAGCTCTCAAGGTGCCCGGAGGCACCATCCAGTATAGCTCAATGGGTCAATGAGGTACGTAAACCGTCGCACCATGTTAAGGCAAAGTCTCGTTGCGAAGAATTTACTTTACAAAATAATTTCTGTTCCAGAGGAAAATAACACTGTGATATCGTGGTGGCGACAAAAGTAAACTAGTCGTAGTTAAGTTGATGATTTGTCAAGAAACGGAATCTAAGGCAGAATTGAAAGGAAGATTACAGCAGATGGCAATACCAGTTCGGATGCATACCAAACCGGCAATGATGTAACAGTTTCAGCGAGTTGGTGGGGCGAGAAGAGAGGGAAATTTAGATGAAGGCAAGCTGTCGATCACACCTTGGAAAAAGTAGCCGTAAGACTAAATTTTGCAGTGAGCCCTTGAGAAGATGACGGAGATGAAACAAGTCAAAGGAACTGCATCTCAGAAATAGATCACCCACACGGAAGTAGCCGAAGGTTAGGTAGCTAACACCAAATGAGATTTGATAAGGAATGGGTCCTTTTACCTGGTATATGAAGTAAGTCTGTGAGGGCTACACTGCACCATGAAAAGCAGTAGATGGTCGCCCAGGAATTTAAGGATAACTCTGTAATGTGCTCTCCTTCGACAAGGTGAATTGTTATGCTTCGTTTTCGAGAAAGTGCTGAATAGGCTTGGGAAATGTTAGATGGCAGCATCCACAGTAATCACGTCATCGAATGTCAGAGAGCACTATCAAACCGCTGTTGTCATGCTCGTAACAAAAGTACAGAAGTATAAAGATGGAGCCCAGACACCAATCATCCTACAGCAACCAAAGTGGTTGGTTATTTGGCACGTTGTAACTGTAGCAAACTACTATATAATAACTAAACTCATCAGTGGTGGTATGTCGACGGGACTAAGCAAGTACGATTATGCACCGAAAACACAAGCATGCGAAGCACATGGATAATGTAGGTAAAAGCAGAGGACGTTGCGTAGCATCTATTTACAGTAAACTGCAACAAGAACGGTGTCCATATGGACGTCCAAAACATGAAGAGAAATTTTTAAAATTAACACATGAACGAAATTAAGAGGCCAAGTAAGAAATACGGCGACATGTTTCCATCGACCCGAATTTCCGAAGCACTTGGTGAAGTAGGGTGATTTCGCAAGAATTCAATTGCTCATCATCCTCTGGAGTCCATAGAGGTGGACTTGGGTGGGAAGGAACACTGGGGTAGCGTTGACCAGTCTGCAGGAAAGTGACAGCCTCAGATAAGGATCCGTTTGTCATACTAACTAGCAGATGGGGCTGTAAATGGTTGGTAAGCAGGGTGCACGATTTGAGCAGAGCTGTGACATAAAAGGCGGAGGAATGATGATTGCTTGCGGCCTGAGTAGATAATAGGAGGTAGAGGGTAAGGACTGAGAAAACAGCAGCTGAGTAGGACTCAGAAGATCGGCAAATAGAAAACACAAACTTAAATTGGCTAGCAAATGCAATTGTGACAGCGAGCTAGATCATGCCACTCAAACAAATCGGGGAAATTGCGTGAATAACTGCGAACAGATGCAGGATGAGCACATCACACTGGTTGGGTCAAGTTAACCAAATGTACAGTGCAGTCACGGCTAACGCTGCATGACAGAAATAAACTAATACCTATGCAAAAAATAAACACCAAAAAAGCAAAACGCCAGTTGTAGAAAAGGTGGATGAAACGAACAGAAGCAAAAGTTAGATGACGAAGTCACTTGCTTTATGATTGAGCTAAGCCCCCTAGGGATTGTGAAAAACATGACACATCACGGAATCCCGTTAGGGAAGATTGCCCTGTTCAGTTCGGATCAGTGCTTTTGGCAGCCCATTTTAGTCATCTAATTCAGTCACCGATTGGATAATGAAGGGACTTCGTCCAACCAAACACAGCAACGCAATGAGATGGGGGGGGGGCAAGTGGGTGAACAATGGACATATGTTGACAATTGCGAGCGGTTCGGATATAGCACAACGCAAAATGCTATGCCAGATAATGTGATGTCAAATATCGATAGGTGGACATCAGCACAACTCATTTGGTTATCCCAAAAGAAATGAATAACGCCTCATAGTTGCAACTCGACAATAAGCTATGGTTGATGTAACGCACTGGCCGTAACTCGAATGCAGGCGGAGAGAGCAACTGAGATGTCACGCTTCACAACTTGTTCGTGATAGACAATGGGATAGTTAGTCGTTCTCATACGCAATAAAGGCTTAGCAATATATATTCACAAACTGATTACATATAATGTGCCATCCGAAACATGACGATAAAAAGAGGGAACGAAATATTTTAAAAAAACGTATTTTTGATCTCACACGCGCCGCTTTGAGTCTTTGTATTGGAGTTTTACGTTCCACTAGGCACTAACTAACTGATAATGCGATTGAACAAAACTGTCGTCATTGATGTCTGTTGCGCGCCATCACTCCCAGCGTCCCTAAGCACGCACTCCGAGTCGCGTGTTCCCCAGCCTGGAAGACGGACCGGTCCGACGGGTGTTAAGCTTGAGGTTGCTTTCTTCATATTTTTTCACATGTCATTGGTCGTTTACCGCCGCACTTTGTTGCAATCGTTTCCTGGGAAGGCGATAGGCCGATATGCGCAACACGTCGCCTAGCCAACGCATGCGTTGTCGGAAAATAACAGTTTGGAAGTATGGGCTGTTTGCTTCAAACACTCACCCTCGGACATCTGTGCCACTCATCTGATACTATTACCACATGCGAGCAATCCTATGCAGACGACTGTCAAAAACTGATAATCACTTCATGTCTTCCGAGCGAATAGGCTTGGCATAGACAAACGGACGCCATCAATGGACAAAGTAGTAAAACTACGGCCGTCTGACCACATGAAGTAATACAGCTATCAAAAAAGTGAACGGATTAAGTGTCTCCGAGAATTGTGTGTTCATCGTGGAAGCCTGTGGTGTACTGATTAAGCCGTGTTGTACATTGTAGCCCAAAGGTGACGGACACAAGCCGAAACGTGCAGCGTCAAAATTATACATTAATTATAACCATTAGCTTGAGGTGGGAAACACCTTAACTATTGTGTCGCAATACACAAGGATAAAAAAATGCAGCAGAGGCGCCCAGCTGAGACAACAGCAACGGATAGATACGGTGCTGCAGCGCTAGCAGCTGACTACAGTACCGCAAAAATGCATGGTGCGCGTAGGAAATGAGATCGTGGTTGGAGAGGGAGGCTTAACGGGAGAGCGAGAGACAAAGAAGCAATACAAGACGTTAAAGTCGGCTCCTAGCCATATCAATGTGTAACCGACCAAACGCGTTCATCATCTCCGGAACCCAACGGATACGCTCTAACCGAGGCCAAGTTGGAATTAAGGGCCTATACTCCTCTTGATCACGCTTCCCTTCCTTTGTACACACTATGATCGCGCAAACACGCGCGTCGCGGGGGTCGGCATGCTCAACACGTGGCCCAGCCACCGGATTCTGGTTAGGGAAGTAACGGTGCTGAGCGGTTCACCTCCTCTCCCTGTGCCGTCGAATACACTCATTACTCACGCGGTTCCCACCAAACATGAGCCAAACTGCGAAGGTATCAGTGGTCGAACGTAACTAGCCTCTTTCCGTGTGCTCATCTAATGGGTCAGGTTTCACAACCATACAGTAGGGTCGAAAGTACTGATACAATATACGCTCTGACCCCACAGGGAGAGAGTGACATCGCGCTGTCGCCATAGTTGACGAAGGTTAGCAAAAGCGCCTCAAGCTTTTGCTACATGCCATGTGATTTCGTCTCCCATTCCACAGGCGTGGCGGCGCCGAACACGCTCATTGCTCATCCGGTTGCTCCAACCAGACATGAACTAAGCTGCGAAAGCAGAGATGATCGAACGTGAGTACTCCCTTTGTGTTTGTCGAATTGACGGGCCAGGTTTTGCAATCATACAGTTGGGTTGAATTAACCGCTGCATTAAAAACGCTGCTCCTCAGGGCGATAGTGATATCGTGCCGGCGGCACAGATGGCGGAGAATGGTAAAAGCGCCTCGAGCTTTTGCTATGTGGTTTGTGATCTCATCCTCTATTCCACCGGCGGTGAGATAGTTGCCTAGATAGTTGTATTTCGCGACGACTTCTAGCTGATCCCAACCAAAGGTCAGCGCAAGGATGAGTACCTGCCAATATTGGAGGACTTTGCACTTTGCGTGTGCAAAGCATAGCCTAAAATGAATGACAGGAAGTGCTAATTTGTCTAGGGCCACTTGGTACGTTTGAAAGCTGACACTGATAAGGGCAATGTCGTCTAGGTACTCCAAGTCAAGAAGTCGTTCACCTGGGAGCAGCTACACGCCTTGTAGATAGTGTCCAGTGAAAGGTTTGCATGATTTCGTCGATACAGAAGTTGAAAAGGAAAGGTGACAGTGGGCATCCCTGTCTCACACCGCTGGAGATATTGTAGGGCGGCGACAGCTTGCCGTAAGCCCTCACTCTGCCCGAACTATGCGCGTACAGGTTTGTGGGCGCGTAAGCTGCGATAACAAGCAGGCATCTACTAGCCCGACGTGAATTTGAAACTTTGAAAGAACCAGCCAGGCGGCACACATTCGGATACTGACTGGGATCCAATCAACCAGAGCAAATTCAGTCCGCTGACTCAGGGTAATAGTCACATCAGCTTGGTCAGCACGCGAAGCTACATAACCTCTAGATAAACACAGAAGGGAAGCACTGCTAGTGTCACCTGAAGTGGATGGCAGAGTGAGCACAGAACTCGAGACTTTCAGGCGGGTTTCCGATAAACAGCAGATATCAATTGATGGCGCCTCCAGTGTACGCCTCAGTGCTGCCTTAGCCAAGCTGTAACAAAGTGCGCACGTTGAGGCATGCCAGGCTTAGAGAGGATCGAGGACTCCAAAAAGAAACAGATGGACTGAAGTTGTCCGCTTGGTCGAACATGGACTTATCAACTGGACCGGAGAGGCGACATGCGAGTGTGTATGAGTCAAAACTAAAGACAAGCGACCATTGGAGCAAAATTAGGGAGAGCCAAGAATTAGGGAGCAGGAAACAGGTGGATAAAGGTGAAGTTGGAGCTAGACGATAAGGATGAAAAAGTTCAAGCGGAAGCAGAAAAAGACGGGAAGGTTTGAGCAGTAGCACCCAAAACCCTTCCCACCCTGCTCTATGCAGCAGATAGGGCGCCGTCGATTATCCTCTGCAACGGCCAGAGCATCAATATAGTGTTTTAAGCGAAATTCATGGTACTGAGTGGGCAATATACTGTCAGGTTGCCCAAGTCTAGACAAAAGAACGATTGGGGTTCTCAACCAAAGCCTTGAGTTCGAAAACCTGACCGCAAGACGGCGTGGTTTTGATGCTGGGCTAAATGAGTCCGTGTTAAGGAATAAAGAGCCACCATCAATCTAATTCCTAACTTGGAGGATTACGAGGTTGAGTTTGTCTGGCCTCTAGCCAATGATCAATCTGGTGTCAGTGGCTATCATCTGCAAAAACCACCACCCAATACAGCTTAATGGATCGTTGAGGCAAAAAAAGGAAATTAAATCATCGGCTGTATGCTGTAACGGCGCTTCGCCGCCACGCGACCACCATTAGTTGCACGTGTGCTGAGTATACCGCGAGGACGCCCGCCCTTACGCGGATTCGAACCCGCGGCGCAAGATTACAAGCTCGTTACCTCTAGACTACTGGCCGACAGATATGGTCAAGTGCAGACAACTTCTGACCACGGGTCACCAGATATCGATGTGTTAACAAACCAATGAGTAGCAGACACACTGTCTGCGAAAGTCGTACTGATGCTGTTACCTGGCCTGTCGACGAAACGTTTGAGGTCAAAGTAACCAATTCGAAGAACACCCAAGCAAGTTGAGGCGAAAACGCGCAAAATGTGGACTGCTTTAGCTGCACTTGAGAAATAAAGCAACCGATCATTCGTCGACCATCACCAAGTCAAGATGAGAAGTTTATCACCGATGTAGATATAATGTGGTTCCGAAAGAAAATACAAGGTAAACTCAGCGAAACTACGGATCACGGAGGCAAGTAAATCATCGCATCCAGTCGGGACGCAGCTTTAACTTCAGGAAGGACGCTTCTCATCTAGTGATGGTCAGGTAAGTCGCAGATTACCGAGTATCCATCACGCTAATTATGCCGGCCACATATGGTTGAGTCGACGACTTCGTTCAATATCCACATTTAGCGTTTTGAGATACAAGCAATATCGCAGCTTCCGGCCAACGTAAAATACGACGAAGTAAGGAGCTGATAGTGTGTGGAGAAAACCGAAAAGATAGATGTCCACAGCCACAGCTATGACACAAAGATGTCCGGAACTGAGATTTTACTCGAAATTGCTGAGCAAGAAGTGTACAGCGATTGGTGAAAGGTATTCGTGGCGCAGGAGTATTACGTAGTCTTCGGTAATCTGCGGCACGTCACGAGCTGTACCTTTAACAATCGCTTCGGTCCATGGTCGCAACATCACAGTACCCGGCGTCAATACATCCAAGAGATCTAAAGGAGTGAAAACATTTTTTTAATTGCTCAATAACGTTCGCTGGAATTCAACTGGAACCACTGTAAATTCCTTTGAAGTAACAGGTAAAAGGAAGACAGCCTACGCACTAGGTGAGAGAGGGACGCGAGAATTGCAGGCGTTTGTAAGTGAAGCCGCTCATTGGAAGATGACGGGGAGGATGGAGTAAACTCCGTTGGACTTCCTGCAGAACTGACTTCATGTTCAACTGTTCTTGAAAAACAGTTGTGTCCAGTGGAGGAGGATGGTTTCACCCGAACATCTATGCTCAAAGGAATTCGAGATGATGAGGAAATGTTCGGGCTTCCAGAACCAAAAGTGCCTGTGGAAAAAGACAAAGAAAGTACGGCTGGTTGGTAGATACATGGTTATGACCTATTAGGTTTTAGCGTCAGACAAAAAGCATTTCACAACTCGTTCAAGGCATTCACTACTTAAACGCATCTGATGGCAGTTCAGTAGAGATACAAACTAGATGTTGACGTCTGGAAGTAAGAAAAATGAATTCAAGTCGCAGCCCGATTACTGAAGGGCATCGAATGATAATAACTGACCATCTACTAGGGTACTACAATAAACAAACAGTTGGAGGTCTTTCGGTGTGGCTCCTCCCTCCTCGGAATGACCGAGGTTCACTTCAAAGTGAACCGAGGTCGCAATCGAGATTGCGCGTCGCAATCCGACCACACGGTGGGTACTCCAAATCCAACTTTGAAAGATATACTTATTCACTAGCCGTGAAAAGGATCCTCAATGATATACGTACGGAACCCATATGTGTGTGTATATGGAAAAGCACAAGGTGCGTAGGATTGACAAAATGACATCGCAAATACCGCGTACTGATATGGCAAATCAATAGGTGAAAAAGCAGGCTATCTGTATATACATATAGATAATAAAAGACTACATGCAGACGAAAAAGACTTCCCGAGGTAGGAAAAAGTTACGTTTGCATCGTGAAGTTAAGAGAACGAGTCTTTTGTAGCTAGAGACAACCGGTAGGAATCGTAGTAGTGACGTAGGGACCACAGTGCAAACCGGCAGTTTCGGTGTGGCAATCAAGACTAGTGATTTAGAATAAAGTTACAGTACCAAGAGATTGTATGGGTTCATTTATGAATACTAACCAAAAATGAGCTCACTTTCACCCACAATGGAGAAACTGTCTTCGAACATGCGGTCGTGATTGGCGAGTTCGATGGTAGTTCGATAAGGAGGATTGGTTCGTGGTTCATTAGGAGCCGTATGCGACAGTTTTGTCTGCAAGCAACGACGGAAACGGCTACGCAGAGACTCGGCAGAATGGCTCAGATGCAAATCACGCTGCATTACAGCCCATACAGTTCGACAACCTAGGAAACTAAAAAATTGAGGGAATTGCGTAACCAGTCACACGTAAGCCGAAAGGAGACAACCATTAATGCTCCAATGATAGACGACTGAGTTACTTACTCGTGTAGATTGTATTTGTTGATATAATTCACGATCGCTTCATCGTCTTGTTCGGTGAAAGATTGCTTTCTGGTCTTGTGACGAACGCGATTTGTCGGACGGATATCCGAAAACAGTGGGGCAAGCACATGACGATAATGATTGCGCATCGCCTCGGCTGAATGGTTGGTGATGTGAGCGAGTTCCATCGATCGCCATGTTGAGCGTCTGTTGACGAGACTAGGGGAGGAGGTGATGTTGGAAAATTAAAATTAGGGGGGGGGGAACAACCGGACAAGTGAAGTCAAGCCGATGTGGACTCAATGTACTTTACATTATCAACTGCAGAAAAACTAGAATCACATCATCGAATGCAAACATTGATAAATAGGCAAACAAAAGGAAAGGGGTGCATTGGTATCACTCGAGTAAATGGACCCACATTCTTGAGCAACGATCACACACTGATACACAGAATCCTCAGGATTTGTATCCAGCCGACAGAGTAGAGTTTTACGAAAACATTTCTTCATAACTGGTTTCAACTGGCCCGAAGTTTCGTGGCCAAAAACAAACTAAGAATCGTACGCAATATCTTGACCTAGTATGCAAAATGTGGAAAGAGTGGGACGGTCTCCGTGGTCTTGAAAGTAGTTTGGACAAAATGGATATATCCACATGTTCAAAGAAAAGGTAACGGCCGGGACAAAGGCACTCGAAGGTAAAATATGGCTGAAGAGCGTCGCCCTTCAATAAAGGGGTACGCGTAATTCATTAGTGCATTGGTCTGTAAATCCGTGCGCATTTCCACGGAAGAGATCCGATTGGCCAGATGCAAGAATCCTAAGTAGGAGCACCGCCACATGGCGCCCCACTTCGCCAACCCAAGCGTGGTCATAAATTGATCACATTGTAATCAGGTTCAGACGTACGCGCTGTGGTATGGGACTACGTATCATTTGGTTACCCTACCTCAAATCAGATCACGTTCTGGTCTGTGAGGACATCTGCATGGGCATTGAAAGTTCCTCGAAACTAAATCTCTGCAAAACAGGTCAGCTAACCCCTCTCTTCAACTGGCTTAACAACCTTTCGTATCAGAGGCGTTCGCCATTGCTTCACTTCAAAAAGTCGAACATCACTGGAGTTTCTTTGTCCCTCCCCTACCGCTTCGCTTCCTCTTCAAACCATGATCTCACACTCCAAACGCAAGAAAATACTTAGCATTACATTTTATGCGTTTGTGCGCTCAGTATTTCGTATTTCTATAGATCTTATCTTTGTGTATCGCGACACCACAGCCGAAGTGTGTTTCGCACATCCAGCTGGCGCATAATGATGTAATGTGAGGATTCTTGTAAAAGTAACGCCCTCTTCCGACCAATAAAGCTGTAGAGTCACCGGGCATCCTCTGAGATGCTGGATCTCTGCTCGCTCTCTGGAATTGTTTGACCATCGCCGAGGTAACCCAGCTAATTTGAGCAATAGTGAAATCCGCCGCAACCTCACCCAGCAAATCAAGCAAAGCCTGTATAGTGATGTCGAAAGCTGATGGTCTCAGCGCGCCACCGAGACAGCGACAACAGCTCACTCGGGGAACCTTCACAATCTTTTCCAGATCAAATGGTGCGCCCATATACTCTACGCTAACCGCAGACGAAACCGCCTAATATCCGTCGCCTACAAACTGTTAACATCCACTCCACTCCACAGGCCAACACCGATTCGAGAACTAAAGTCCCTTAAGAACATGCTGATTTTCGCCCCGGTGAAGTGTGGACCACATGTTTACGCTGGGCCAACTCCAGCCAATCATTTTCAACTTCTTGGACATCCTAGCTGTTTTATAGCGTTGCCTGCAAAGGAATGGGGTGCCCAAAAAGTATACCGCCATCTTACGAACTTTATACAGCAATGTATTAGTCAGAATAGGGGAATACCATATGCTCTCTTCATCTTTCGCAGTCACTACCGGCATAAGACAGGGATGCCCAATGTCCGTGTCTCTCTTCGACTCTGAGATTGAGGATGTCCTATTAAGTGCTCTGGAAGGTCTCCAGGGTTCTAGCGTAGGGCTTCTTCCAGGCAACAGTGTGACTGACTTGGGTTAGGCTGATGAAATTGTTGCACGGTGATGACCCCGAAAGTATGCAGGTTATTCTAAACCGCTTGGCGATTGAAGCTACCAAGTATGGCATGATCTTCGCCCCATAGAAATGCAAAATCCAACTCCAGCATTGGCATCCACCTGCCAAATGTTGGTTTTTGAATTCAAGCACCCTGAATAATTGGATAACATCATATACCTTAGGAGCAGCAATTTTGCCAGTGGTACTATGGAAGAGATTTCTGTTCGTACTAACAAAGCTCGATAGGCTATCGCTAATCTGAGATACTTGCGGTGTCGCTGTGACGTATCAATCTCCGTAGAGGGCAGCGACTACAATGACTGCTCTCGGGCAGTACTGTCGTATGGAAGTGAGTCTTGCCCGATTCATGTAAATGAATTGCGTCGAATTTTGGCCTACGACAACGGAAGATAGCTCGTGTGTGGTTGAAACCTTACGTTTGCATCGAGGTTAGACGTCGCATCTTAGGTAATACAGGCCCCTATCTCGATAAGCGAATACCGCTGCGCCAATTTGATGGCTGGCTCTATTCACTCGCGCGGCGCCGCATGGAAGAAATGACGCGATGGTCAATCTATCACATGGCGACAAAACGTCAGGGTACAGACTTCCAGTCAAGCCGTTCTCCGTCCCGTACATCTTCCAGGCTAGTAAAATAAATGTAGGTAATGCTTCAAGTGATCAATACCGCTATCACTAAACTGACTAAAAGCAAAAACAATGTATAAAAAATAGAGACATTTTGTCCATTTCCCAATTCTTGACATTTTCACTTCATGAGTACGTTCATGCAATAACCTTTATACGAGTTCAAGTTTATTGTATAGACGGTTGTATTTTATATATATATACATACATATATATATATATATATATATATATATATTTAGCGGCATCCGGCAACGGATTTGCCTGTCACACAGGCCAGCGACAGGACGTCTGCACCTACAGAGGGACCAAGGGTGCCTTGCGCTACTCCATTCACAGCTCCAACCACACACCCATATTTAGTGTAAACCCGAAGGAATAAGACCGGGAGATATGTGCACGAGAGGCACGTTTCGTCAACGGAGCCGGCCAAAACTCCTTCACAGGGAAACACAAGCACGCTGTGTTTGGGCAATCAAGCGCATACAATGCGGTGGTTGGACCGTAGTCCGCACCACACTGAGTGCATGGAACCACTCTTCGAGGCTAGCATGGCCACAGAGACCGTGCACCCCGTCCTTTCCAGCAACGAATAACTGTCTATTAGAGCCAGTATAGACGAGGCTATTGGTAATAGACAGGTACACACCTTGTGAACGACAAGCGAAGACACACCGGGGATATCAAGCAACAGCCAGTCATTTGAAACGACAATATCAAACAAAATAAATCGTATAATGCATACAGATACTGTGACAGAACCCCTCACTAAATAAGCGTATGAAATAAATGGGCTACGCAAATTACCGACAGATTTAAGACGTCAGAAAGCATATCTTAAGAAAATGCCACAACCGCGCAAATGTTTTCGAAGTTAACTACGATTAGCTTAAGCGAAGTGTGCAAGTTTATAGAAGTTAGCTCAAGTAGACATTAATATGAGACAAAAAAGCATTAGGACAATATAGCAAACTAACCACCTGAAATAAACAGACTCAGCTTGCAAGCACGCGGTTAGTAAATCGAATGCAGCGTACCTATAGACGCTGCGCTGGTTCTGCCTACGTTCTCTGCAGGATACGTCGTCCCTTCGGTGGTGGCCCCGAGTGGCTTCGCTCGTGGCTCACTAGGCCTGCCTAACTCAGGCACACACGACCACATGTGCGACAGCGCCATACGCTAGATGTCGATGGAGTACAACATATCGGCGTTTGTCGCTTCCGCAATTGCCTCTTCTTCTCTGCATGCATGAGGGCTTTCTCCTGCACCACGGCTACTACCTTCGTCATCAGACCGTGCCATGCACGCTGATCAACCGCTTCCGATTCCCATGACCTACAATCAAGAGTAAAACGGGACAGGCTCATTTTGATCATGTCCCGGTAACGAAGCTTCAGTTTCCCGACATGCAGCTACCTTAAACTCAGTTGACCATATAACAGCTACTTAGGTATCCGCGTAGAATCCATACGCCACACATGACTGGGCCACCTCAGGTGTATCAGCAAAAGTATGCAGTACACTGCATAGATTCCACTTCGGCGCAATACTTTCGTCTCCGCAACCTGTCGCACCAACCAATGCGCAAACAGCGTCGCAAACAATGTTAGTGAAACCGCTCGAGATATCTCACAACTCGCAAGTCCACGCTTCGCTGCCGTATAGAAGAACGGACAGCACCATGGATTTGTACACCATCAGCTTCGTGTCAACGGTAAGCTGATGGTTAATCCACAATCGGTACTCTAGCTTCCCAAATGCCACCGCTGCCTTAGAGACGCGGATACGAAGCTCAATGTGTAGCTGCTGGTCAGTCGACAACACACTCCCAAGGTAGCAGAAGCGCGAGGTGGTTTCCAATACGTGATCACCAATACTCATTTGCGGCAATATTTAAGATTGCAACTCCAATGGAGGCTGAAAGAGAAAGATAGTTTTGCTTGTGTTGATGGTGTGTCCGAATTTGGCCGCTGTCGAAGACAGAGCACTACTCATGTGCTGCTAATCATCCGCGCCATGAGCAAACAGCGCACAGTCATCAGCAAACAGCAATATATGGATAGTTGACTCACAGACCAGGGTTCACAACCCACCATCAAGACAGTGAACCACACGAACACCGTAAGCACAAGCCGCATCAAAAGCATACGACATCATTACATGAAGATAAGTATTATTTGAATAACACAAAAAGAAGACCAACACCGGTAGAGTGGCACATTTCGTCTCAACTCCTCAGTACCATTAGGATAACAGGAAATAATCGATGTAATCAAAGCCCATCACCAGACTAATCAAAATAATAATCAAAGATTGTCACCTAACTACTCACACGGTTAGAGCTAAGACACAGCCTTGCTTCACATTAGTGACAACTGTAAAGCCATCGGAAGCCTATCCACTCAGCTGCACCTTCGCCCGCATACCACTGTGAAGACATTCAATTCAACTTACAAACTTACG